GGACATCAAAATAGACATTTATACACCATTCGATAGAGAATTGGAAGGGCTATTTTTTGCAGTATTTATATTTGGTAAATAAGAGAATCGACTTTTTCGCCTAATGTCCGCTTGGATGCCCACTGTGAGAATGTGGGTCAGAATGAGTACTATTCACTCCGAAACATATCTTGCGTTTATTTCCATCAGATAGCAGCTAACCATTTTAATAAAATTTCCATTCTTCGACATATGATTCGAGGTCAGTTGATAGAAGAGCTGTATATATAAAAATATTTTCATCGTTACTAGACCAGTTTTGTAGGAGAAATTCAACTTTCACTTTCCCAATGGGATTTGGGCGCCAAAAGTATTCCGAAAAAAACCATGTATAGAGGAAAACGTCAACTTTTACTTATTTTAATTTTATACACCGTTTTTACGGATTTAACACTCGATGAATAAATTAACAATTCTGATTCATATTCGTTTTACTAAGAACTTTTAATTAACTTTAATTAATCGATAATTATCTTATACGAGAAAATCAAATTCCTGCGGAACTGAACGAATTTCTCGAATTTCGATTCGTACGCGGAATTTTTGAACTTCGCGCGCAAATTCTTCCATAGAGTGATCAGGTGCACAAATCTCCTGATTTGACTAGATCGTTCTTATTTTTAGAGTTTTCTCCTGGTAAAAATTCTGCTGAATTAAAATCTGGTTTTAAACTTGTGCTTCCAACAGTTTGGATTAGTCACGGTGGCTTTAAGAGTGACACCTTATGAGCACATATTGAAGGATGAAGGACGTCGCCTCGAATTTTATTGTAGACTGATACAACGCTGACAACGCAGCAAAAAAAATTGATGAAAGAGAGAAAAATAAATTAAAAAGTAATGTTTTCGTTGCAACTATGTTTGTCTATTATATTTTATTTAAGAAGATGGACGTGTGTTATAGATCGGCGTGTTTAGTCTTTTGCTCTTTTTAGATTATAACTAGCGTGGTAAAGAATGTCTGTGGGGTCTGAAGCAAAACCAAAGACTACGAAACCTAAACCGAAATCAAATTTTTTTGTTATAAAATCGAATAGAGAGAATGAAGATACTCGTAATTCATTTTGATGAGTTAGCAGCATCATCAAAGACCGAAAATTGAAAGAAACTTCTATCGTTTCGTACGAGTCAAAAGGCAAAAGTGGTCGTGGTGAAATTTTCTCATTACATAGTAAGAAGTCAAATCTAGTTTTCTCTTGAAAGAAGAGTTATGAAAAAACTAAGCAGAATAAAGAACATTTCTGCGGAAAAAATATTCGGCAGAATGCTGCACGAAAATTTCCGCAGAAAAGCAGATTTGTCTACAGAAAAATAAGTCTGCATACGTTCCGAAAAAACATTTCGTCGTGAATCAGCGTTTCCCCGTCGAAAACTGAAAATTTTCTGCAGAAAAATTGAAACTCCCGACGAAAAAATATTTTCCCGCAGGAACCTGCGAAATCACGCTTATTTTTTTCCACTGGGTAACTCAGTGAAGAAAGCTAGTCAATATCTCATTTTAATCGGATTTAGCGGGGTATAATAATGGTAGGTTTATTCAAAGAGATAACCCACAAATTTTGTCATTTTCTGAAGAACGTATTTTCAAAATATCCCCTATAAGAGGATCATGTCAAATCTTTTCAGAGCGTGCTGTTTTAGATTTTTTTGTGGAAAAAAACTCTCTCGAGTCTCTCGAAAAGTATCTCACCTGTTCGGACACTAAAAACAAGCACTATACACGGTGAGAAAGTAAGTTGGAGTCTAAGTTTCGAGAACAACACACAGTCTGGACTTCAGATACATGTTCACTTCGAAAGATAATTTAAAGTAATCTTGTCTTGGAGAAAGTAAAACCTTGAGGCTTTCTGATCTTATCAATTCTTAATAGAGACAAGGCTTTCACACGAAGAAGTCTTAGAAGAATGAAATCTTTTATGAGGCTTTTCTTGGTTCAAGTCTTTTCACCACCTATGGAATTTCCAATAAGGTTTTTAAATATCATTCAAGTGCTTCGAAAACCGCAAGAGTCATTCATTACTCAGTAACTAACGAGGGAACCGTCCCAACTGAAAAATCGTTTTTTTAGCGAAAGCTATTGGGTTATCGACGATGCTGATTCGATTGTCTGTCCAGACTGTAGAGCGTGTCGAGTTGTCTATAAAACACTAATTTTTGTCACTTCAAAACAATTCTTGAAGGAGATATTTGTCATAATTATCATTTTATACCTGCACTTTTCTCATTGATAACTTCAAGAATCGACCTAAAATTAGTGTTTTATAGGCAACTCGACACGCTCTATAGTCTGGACAGATCCGAAAAACGTTCTGTTCGTAAACGGTTTTTAGCTTGGAAAAATGGTTTTCGAAAAAAAGCAGTCTCCGAAGATCTAAGGGGAGCTCTCATGTATACTCTTGGTTCTATTTCAAAAAAAAATATCGGTAAATCAGTTGCTTTGAAAACGGAAACGAAAATCTTCAAGTGTGCGCCACTATTCAATAAAACGTTCATTTCTATGATGACAATTTTTCTAGCAAACATTTTAGTTATTTTCAACTTTTCACTTGTCGAAACTATTTTCTTCTAATATTCAACAGGCACACGTACACACATGTTTTCAGTTCTTTAAATTAAAATTCTCTCATTTGATTCTGCTCTCTCTTTCAACTTAAAAACATTATAAATAAGAACAATTAATTATCATGGCAAATGATTTGATACATAAATCATTAATTCTTATTTGGATTGTGATTACCATCATTTTACCATTACGTATATTATTGGCTATTACATTTTCCGATCTTTTTCTCATTACTATCTTGGTCATTTCATTTGTATTTCAAATTAGTTTATTAGTCAGTTTATTTAAACGTAAAGAAAAATTGTTATATCAAATAAGTATGATCGGTTTAACATTCGTACTGCTGTTATTTTTAATTTATGCTGCTATTGGATCGTATATATTATCAAAAAAAATGAGAATAGATTATCTAAATTATTTATATAATGGTGCAGATCCAGGAAAAGTAACGTATATAGAATTATTTATTGATAAATCACAATGTTGTCCATATGATTGGGAATATCAAAAATATATTCAAAGTGGTCAACGAACATTTGTTAATGGTTATGAAGATTTTCATCACTGTCGACGTCGTACACAAGATACAATGAATTGTAGTGACTTTTTTCAGATGACAAATATTATTATAAATATTATTTGTCCGTGGTTTATTGTTATTGTTCGAACATTGTGTACAATAATGATATGGTCATATTATTTTATATTCTATTACCAATCGGAACGAACACTAGCAGGAGTTGGTATAATTGATCAAAAATTACTGGGTCAATCTCAAAAACGACGTATTAATAGTCAGTTGTTGGATCAAGTCATTCATCACATAAAACAAAAATTTCATGGGCAATAACTATTAGATATGTGAAGAAAAAATCCACTAATTTTTAATAGCTACACACACTTTCTTTTGTCTGACCCTGCACACTCTCTCTCTTATTCATCTGACTGCGTGTAGTTACCATAGTCATAGTATCAATCGAGTGCTTCGACGAAAAGCATCCATCGAATGTACAAGTTCGGCAATTTCGATTAGGGAAGAGGAGACGAAATCTTTCCTCTCAATAAAAGTTTACTCAGAAAACAACTAGTCTGAATTAGTAAACGTTGAATTTTTTCAATTGAACAACTCTAATGCAGATAGATCCCGCGGAAGGGTTCAGTATTTTTCCTACTTCAAATTAGTGAGTATGAACAGTAAACAAATCATGTTTTAAAAATGTAATCGAAAACTAAATGCTTGCCTTTTCAAGACTAAATGATAACGATGATTGATTATTCTTCATGTAAATATAAATAAATTAAGCTAATTCCATCGATTCACTTGATCTTGTTTGTTTAACCTTCTCATTAGAACTCTGGCATTTTTGTCTTTATCTTCATCTCGCATATACTGCATTAGGATACATTTGGAAGAGAACAGACATCAGAAGAAAGGAACAAAACATATACATATATGTACTTACACAACAACGAAGAGAAACATTGCTCTGCTCATATATATGTTGTAGCGAAAATTAAAATCAAGAATCTAACTTTAATCTTGCTAGCCAAACTTGAAATTTTAATTGAATCATTTTTTAAGGTGAGAAATTTCAAAATAGATAATAAGATATAAACCACCTTTATCATAATGAAAAATATCGCTATTTTCTGTTAGAGACGTTTCGTCTTTATTCAAAAGACATCATCAGTCAAATGT